GGTGGGGGGGAGGTTGCCGCCGCAGTGCCCAAGACCCACCAGCACCTCTTCAAGGTGCTGGTCATCGGCGAGCTGGGCTTGGGCAAGACCAGCATCATCAAGCGCTACGTCCACCAGCTCTTCTCCCAGCACTACCGGGCCACCATCGGGGTGGACTCCGCGCTCAAGGGCCTCAGCTGGGACAGCCGGACGCTGGTGCGCCTGCAGCTGTGGGACATCGCGGGGCACGAGCGGTTTGGCAACATGGAAAGAAGGTAGCCAGATTCCTGCCCAGATGGACCAGTTCTGCAAAGAACATGGCTTCACTGGATGGTTTGAAACCTCCGCAAAGGACAACATCAACATAGAGGAAGCAGCCCGCTTCCTGGTGGAGAACATGCTCATGAACCAGCAAAGCTTTCCCAATGAAGACAACAATGGGGACAAAATTAAACTGCACCAGGAAACCTTGCCAGCAGAGAGCAAATCCCAGTGTTGCTGATGTGGCTTCAGCTCCTCTCCTGCTCGCCAGATGCAGCCTGACCTGATTTCTCCAGTTGGAGCAAATTCCTGAGAAGGGATTGAGGTGGTGGATGCCCTGCTGTGATCTTCCCAGAGCTGGGCTTAATGTGACCGTGAGGGCACTCGGGGAGCCTTAGCTGAAGTGGGTGTCGTGTCTACCCTGAGCATGGCTCTACACCTTAGAGTGAGCACTTGGGCTTCTCTTGTTGTTGCTGCTGCCGTCAGGTGCAGGATAATGTTTACATCCTTCTTAACATCTTTGAAAATGACAATGCTCAAGATTTGGTACGAGTTGCAAGTTGTGGCTCTTAGTGTAAGCACTGGGGTGGTAATAAACTTTCCCAGCAGTCTTACAGTAATTGTACAAGCCTCTATTTTTGTATTCTATCTTCACTTTTGAGGGAGGCTTTTAGACTGTTAGCCACATAAGGCTTGAAGTTTCTATTTAGCAAGGTTTTCCCCCTCAAAACTTCTAACTGGAGCTAGTTTTATCAGATCTGTAACACTCATGGTCAAGGAAAGGAGTTATTCAAAGGTTAGACCCAAGGTCCCATAGTATGAATTGTGAGAGAAACAAGGTTGTGTGGTTTTATATAAAGTTCTGGGCACTTAAAATATAATACATGAGGAAGGTACGTCTGGCTCACAATATTTGTATTACCATTCAATCCAATTAAGAACATGCCAGAGTCCATTCATTGTCTTCACTAGCTGAGTTTAGACAGAGACCCCCCAAAACTAGTAACCTTTGAAGTCCTAGCAAAGGTCAGGACTGTGCACCACCCAGTTAATCTGGGAACCACCCAGTTAATTTAGGTAATAATAGTTGAAGCATCATCCCCACCTTAGTTCCCTTAATTCCTTAGATACTTGTGTAGATCCTTGTTGATTATTGTTGATACTCTGCCCATTCCTGGAAATCATCTACTGATGAGCTAATCAGATACTCTGTATATTCCTGGAAATTGTCTGCTGATCCATGTGTCATTGAAATCCCCTTACCTCAGGCTACCCTGACCTAAATAAAAGATTGGAGGGGCCTAAGCATCGATGGAAGTCCTTCGGGACTTGCCCACCTGGTCCTCCAATATTGCAAAATTATCTTGTGTCTTTTTCTCTCATTTGTTGTGCAGCTCCTCTTTCAGATACCAAACCCTACTCCACGCAGAACGTGGAGGGAGTGTTACTCGACAGAACAAATATTTTTTTTTAAAAAAGATACTGGGACAGTGGTCAGGAGACTGCTGTGGAGACCCCTGTGGGAATGACAGTGGCCTACCACAGCAGCACTCAGAATGGAGAAGAGATGTAGTAGATACAGTAAAGGGGTTGAACTCCCAAGACTTATTCACTGATTCATGTGAAGGTGAGAAAGAGGAGGAATCAAGCAGGTCTCAAGCTTAAATGGACAGGCCTTCTGTCCACCAAAAGAAAGAATAGGCCAACTTCTATATGAAAGTATCAAAAACAATGATTCGGGACTAAATTTCAGAAGAAAGAATTAACACAAAAGCACAGGTTTCCTTAGGCAGTATGGATACTCTATCCCCAAGAAAAAAATCAAACACTTAAATTCACAGAGAGGAATAAGCCAGAGTTAAAGAAATTCCTGTCTAACATGCTGATGAATGAATAATCAAAGAATAACACAGTAGGCAATTCACTAACAAGAGAGCCATCTACTGCCATATCAGGATAGTGCAGCAATGAAATGCCAACAAAGAGTGTGGAAGGAAGCCAACTGTTTGGACACTTCACATTGTATATGTAGTCTCAAAATATTTGACATCCCGCCCCCACACCGCCCGCCCCAAGCCCAAGTGGTTAGCACTTTTACCTAATAGCCAAATGTTTTCACTTACTTGTTTCACCTAAAAACATCAATTCAATTGATATGATCATTTGAATAGAATATGCTTACCTGCCATCATTGCTATCATGCTGGCTTTATAAACATTAGTGAGCGATCCAAGTTCTCCTGTTGCTAAGATGGTTTTGAGATGCGCCTTCCCACAGGCCTTGCGAAACTGACGAATCTCATCATACAGGGCTGGGGGAGGAAATAATTGAGGCCGTTACAAAGCAGGCAAGTGATAACATGACTTGGCAGCCGTTTAGAGCTGGTAGCGCCCATCTCAGACTTAGGAAATATAAAACATTTGTCACTTTCTCAAAATCGCCCCAATTTAATATAGCCTAGAGCATTCTGTTGCAGTTCACATTCTGTTACAAGGAATGCTTAGTTTGCTACCACGATACAGTTTCCAAGCCCTGGCCCGAGGTCCAGAGACATGAAGATTTAAAAAATATCATTATAATGACATGCAAATTACAAATAATTTCTACCTCTTCCAGATGGTGGCTACTTATAAGTAAAAAGAAATCTACCGACCATACATACAGGGGTGTACCACTTTGCAAACTAAAGAGAAAAAAAAAATCCTCGGGTCCCTATGAACTCTTCCATTCACACATAATAAGTTCTCTTGTTGGAATATAAAGCAGGCCTTCCCTGAGAGCCCCGCTAATGACAATAAAGACATAACAGCTTGTCGCACTATCTGCCAGGGTGTGTGTCTATCTCTCTGACGAGAAAGTGTCGAGGTAGCCTTGGCTGTACGTGTGCAGAGCCAGCTGTGGAGGGATTTACAGATGTGGCCTTGAACCTATTAACCCCTGACCCCAGAGCCACACCTGGCTTTCTCAGGCTCCACATAGCACCCTGAAAGCAGCGCGATCATATGCACATAAAGCTGTACACAACAAAATAAAGCCGAGAGGAAAAACAGTTCCTATTTAAAGTAACAGAATTTTAGTAAACAAAATCGGTGTCATAAGTATAAAATTTTTGAAAAAATTATTTTACAGTCTTTTGTCCTGACACCAGTGGATCTGGGCTGTCACCCTGCATCAGCTTGGCCATATTCATTTCCTGAACTTGAGCTGTGGCAAGTTATCAGGACTAAGGGCAGCGCTTTTTCTTTCTTCTGTATGAGTGTTTCATAGGAAGTAGTTTTATAAACACACAGATTAAACTGAACAAGAACGAAACATGCATAGCATTTTTTAATACAATGAGAGTTCTGTAATTCATAGGTTTCCTCACATACATATAAAGTACTTAAACGTCAGCAAACTCAGTCAAATCCATGAAAGTTATAACAAGTGGCACAAAACTTGTCTTCCCAATCCTAGAAAACTTAACTTGAAGATAGAAAGTGAAAACTGAATCCGAATGAAGTCAAATATTCTATTACAAGATGCTTGGTCAAATTCCGTGTTTACTGCCACCAGACGTGGTCTCACAGGTTTTTCAAGAAGATTGAATATTTTCACAAATCCCTAAAATTATGTAGTTTTGAGTACTAGAGATGATCTGAGATGCCACACCACCTCCCAAACCCTGCCCATCCTTACTAAACTGTGATAAAATTCTTACTCATACATCCAATCTGACAACATGTGAGAATGGATGGTATAAACAGTACAAGACGATGTGATGATAACAATTTATATTCTTTTAACTCAGAGAAGGAGTTACCAAATCTAAACAGAGAAAATTGTTCTCGAAGAAGTAGTGACAAGGAAATCTCTTGATCTAAAAATTCAAGAATGCTAATCCAGAGTTAACTTGTGATTTAATTAATGACTATTCTTCCACAGTACAGTGTTGCCATCAAAAGCAAGCTGGAGAGTCAGACAAACATGGATTTATTTTTTTAACTTTTTTTTTTTATTTTGAGAGAGAGAGGAAGAGGGAAATATCGATGCAAGATGAAACATCGACCAGTTGCCTCCTGCATGACCCCCACTGGGGGATCGAGCTCGCAAGCCAGGCACATGCCCTGACCGGGAATCAAACTGGCAAGCTTTCAGTGCATGAGCCATCACCAGGCAGGAATAGACAAATGTGGATTTAAAATCCAACTCCACCACTTACTGTAGGACCCTGGGCAAGTTATTGCTCTTAGCCTCAATACCATCATAAAAGCGTCAATAAGAACATGGATTTTATAGGGTTATTCTGAGAATTAAAAGGGAATACATATAATTACTTTGCACATTGCCTGGCTTATTATAAGCACTTAAATCATGTATTCCTTATTAAGCTCAGAATTCTAGTAAAATGAGTTTCCATTAAGTGTTGTGTGATGAAAACCAGATCTTGTTTCTTGGCCTGATCCAACTCCTTGTACTGCACTGAAATTTTTTATACAGATTAGTGCTTACAATCAGTGAGCCATCAGATAAGGCTTAAAAATATTTTATTATAGCATTTATTAAGCTGAACTTTGGCCTATATAACAAAGCTCTGGAAACACTGATCCCGATCGTATTTATGCCATCCTTTTCCTAAAGAATATCACCTTTTGATACCCAGTGAATTTCTTCACCTACAGTTAAAATCAACCAGAAAACCCAAATATATTTTATGACTCAATTATCAGCTACATAGGAGTAATGCTCTTTCATCCATGATCCAAACAGAATGAAACAAAAATAATCACTTAGAATTTAACTGGGTTTAGCTAATATGCAATGAGTGCATTCTTAGTCTTTACCTGCCAACTCCTCAAATCATTCTACTGACCTGTTTTAACACATTAGGAGGGTCACATTTTTCTGAGCAAATATATTAATTAATAAGTTCAACACTGGGAAAGTTGTTGCTTCTTTCTCTTACTATTCTGCTCAGAGTATACCAGCAATACAATTAAATGAAAAAGTATATCAGATCTGGTTTTTTAAAAATGTGGCCCGAAGGCCCACAGCCCAGCACACCCAACGTACACCACGGCTACCGCACACGCTGACCAAAGGGGCTCCTCAGGAGCTCCCCACCGCTGATTTCAAAAGTAACCTCCTGCCCGAGCTGGTTTGGCTCAGTGAATAGAGCGGCAGCCTGCAAACCGAAGGGTTCTGGGTTTGATTCCGGTCAAGGGCATGTACCTCGGTTGCAGGTTCCCTGGCCCTGGTCGGGGTGCATGCAGAAGGCAACCAATCGATGTGTCTCTCTCACATCAATGTTTCTCTCTGTCTCTCCCTCTCCCTTCTACTCTCTCTAAAAATCAATGGGAAAATATCCTGAGTGGGGATTAACC